AACACGCCTCGTCTCAACCTCAGGCTGCATACGCTGTCATTACTCATAGTCTCCGCAATAAGTGGTCATTCCTTGCAAGGACAATGCCAGCCATCGCGGACCTCCTGACACCGCTGGAAAACTCCATCAGCCAAGCATTGGGGCGAAAATGAACAAGTTCATCATAAGTATTCTGAATCAATTCAATTGAACATGTGTTAGTTAGACCATTAATTATGAAACCATCGAAAGTTGCTTCCGTGTGCTGTGGCAAATCCTCAGTCTGCCGTTCATCCCGGCTCGATGTCAGAGGGGGTGAACAAGGCAAATCCAGAGCAGAACCGAGGGACTGCGATGCCGGGTTGCAACACGTCTCCGGGGGCAACGCCACACGGAGCACATCCGCACCAGACACCACATGATGTCCTGACAGGATGCTGGTTGCCGTGGGAGCAAATCGTCAGGCGCCATAGGAGGAGAATCCACCACAGACGGCGCTACCACGACGGAAGCAGAGTCATGACTAGCAGACTCAGCAGGCATTGTCAAATCATGGGTAGGGCGATGCACAGAATCAGCAGCCTGAACAGCAACGCCCGACACATCGCCCACTCTCATCTGGTTGTTAGACGCATTACGTTGGTTATGATAGTTTGATCTCAAATCAGACGATGGGTGAGTGCATGGCACGTCCGTTCCAGCACACGAGCCTCCAGCACTCCGTGACCCCACATTCCGGGGAACCCAACCATGAGCATCACCAACAACTGTAGTTCGAAGATCAGAATTGCCAAAATTTCGACAACGATTATCTCGACCAGGGCCACAATTCTCACAGCACCTGCCTGCAGTAGCACAAGAGCAGGAGTGACAGGTGCCCCTGCTACATAAGCAACATGGGCGAGTGCCACGAACCTGCGACATCCCGGCTGCCGATCACCACCGGTACACCGCATTTTTTTATTTTATTTTTTTTATTGGGAACACAGCCCTACAAAGAGACATGTCGAGACAAACACAAGACAAGACACAGGGGATGTAGGGACGACGTGCCGATGCACAGGGAGCAACTCGACCGACCAGGGGTCTCGGCGTTAGCATTGCAACCTGGCATCGAAAAAAAGGCGGCGGGGGGGGGGGGGGTTGCATGGTCAAGTAGCAAAAATAATAATTTGGTGTGAGAAAGGGGCGCTAGTATTACACCAAATAATATAAATACGTGTAATGACTAAACCAGAAGGAAAAAAGAAGAAAGAGAACAATAACCATAACAAGCAAGTACTAGTAGAGAGGTAAATACTAAATGGGTCTCAATATCATCGTCACAGGTACTGTGTGGACCACAGCCATCTCTTTCGGATTAGATCCTTACATACGTTGACCTTGAAGGTTTGGAGGCGTCTTGAATGAGGTTCGTGAAGCAGGAGGTCGCCAGGCAGGTTGTTCCAGGGTGTGATGGCGAAGAAGGGGAAGGATCGCAGGAGGTAGTCAGGGGCTGCGCGAGGGGGTGTCCACTTCAGCTGGAAGGCATGGTGCGTCTGACGTTTTTGCCGTGTGCACATGCTAGCTACGGCAGGGGGCTTGGTTGGTGGCAGCATGGCCTTTACCTGGGGAGGCCCTGGAATGTAGTGCAGCTTGAACAAGTATGACAGGGCTGCCACCATCCGACGAAGCTGAAGACTTTGGAGGATGGTTCCAGCCTATCCAGGTCCCAGGAAATGCAGGGCACGTTGCTGAACCTTGTCCAGCTGGGCCATGCTAGTTGCGGCTGCGCTCGACCAGGCCAGTGGGGCATATTCAAGTAGGGGTCGCACGAATCCCTTGTAAACCGTCACTCGACCATGGTCGTCCAGGATGGGTGCTGCCTTTCGTAGGAAACCCAGCCTTTGGGAGGCGCGCAGTGCAACACTGCGAGTGTGCGCGCTCTGTAGGAGAGAGTAGGGTCGAGCATGACTCCCAGCAGCTTCAGGGTATCTGTCTCCTGGAGTGCCTCCCCTCCAAAGGTGACTGGTGGAGTGCAGGGGGGAACGTGCTTGCGATGTAGAGTCATGCGCTGTGTCTTGGCTGGCTCAAAACAGATACGCCACTTGCGGCCCCACTCCTCAAGACTGTTGAGGGACCCTTGGAGGGAGGCAGTGGACTGTTGGAGATCGTCAGTTGGCTGTACTAAGCTGTAGAGTGTGGTGTCGTCTGCAAAGCTGCTCAACTGCGTTCCTGGAGTTAAACATTGTTCAATGTCACAGGTGTATAGAAGGAAGAGGCTGGGTCCTAGGATGCTGCCTTGGGGGACACCAGCCTGGATGGGTTGAGCATCTGACGTCTGGCCTCCAACCACAACGCGGATGTTTCGGTTGGTGAGGTTGTCCTGTAGCCATACAAGCAGACATCCGTCGACGCCGGCCTGCTTTGCTTTGTACAGCACTCCTGTGTGCGATACCCGGTCAAACGCACCGGCAATATCCACGGCGAGGACCTGGACACAACCGCCAGTACTTATGGTGTGGACCCATTCATGTTGGAGCGCCGTTAAGATTTCTGCGGTTCCTCTACCACGTCGGAATCCAAACTGGCTGTTTGGCAACACCTCATGCTTCTCTAGGTAGTTGACCAGTTGCGTGTTTACAATGCCCTCCATGACTTTCGACATGATCGTTAGCAGTGATATTGGTCGGTAGTTAGATGCCAAAGATCTGGAGGACCGCTTGTGAACCGGGACTACATGGGCAAGTTTCCATGCCCCAGGTTGCACACCGGCTAAGAAGCAGAGGGCGAAGAGCTTTGCCAGTGGGTCTGCAAGTTCAGATGAGCACATCTTGAGCACACGAGCAGAGATGTGCTCATCCAGTTGACATACACGGGCACAGCCGGAAGAAGGCGCGAAGAGACGTGAGGTGTGAAGAGTACCTCGCACATCAGTCGTCACAGGCCATGCGGGATAGCACCCAGCCGCAAAGCACAACACCACAAGCCAGCTCATCCAAGGCCCAGGGCGAAGGCGTCGAAAACGACCCGAAACTACGGCACAATAGGGCTTGAAAGTGATGACGTCAAAAACGGCCTGGGAGTAGTAAATTGACATCAGATTTCTATTTTGGATCCACTAAGGTGTGACTTTGCTATTGCCTCAGTATGTGGGTGCATAGCAACCCACTCATGTCGTATGCAGGTGCAACTTTTACTTCGCCACCAGTTGTCACCCCGCCCCCACTAGCCAAATCAGTCAGTTTCACTGGCAACATCACCTTGCTGTGAGTGAGACCGCTTGAAATGTGCTTGGATCCATACAAAAACTGGATCCAGGTGGATCCAGTTTTCGAATTTTTCAAATTGTTGCTATGCCATTGCTATGGAGTGACGTAGCACTTTCAAGCCCTATATGGCCAGTTCGCCAGGTAACAAGAAACCAGCTGGAGGGAGGAATAGCGGACTGGGCAACTCCACAGCGTTGAAAACTACTGGAGCCGACTCCTGAAGCCTAGAAGAAAGTAATGAAGTAGGTTAGTAACCGGTTGACTGGGATAGTGGATAAAAGAATTAGAAAAACTGCGGAGGAGCAAAACCTCCATCCAAACGCTGTACACCATGCATTATATTTTGTGATGAGGGGTCTAGCATCGGTCTGCAATGTTACACTTGCCCGGTTTATGATGGACCATGATGGCATAACATCATAGTCAGCTAGAAATTCCACCCAGCGGGCCTCCCGTTTCGTCAGCTGGGGCCCGTTTGAAGGTATACTATGCCCACATTATTTGTGTACAAAAATGGAATAAATGAAACCCTGGGCTAGAAGTGGCATTCTGCTGTGGCCAGCACAGCGGGAATGTCAGCCAAAGCTCGGTTGGACTTCGGTTGAGCGGCGCGATGTCCACGGAGGCTAGCATTTGCTGAGCAGACAAGAGAGAAAGAGACCCTTGACCTGACCCAGGTCAGTACGGTGGGATAGGGGTTCTTTTCAACGTCCACAGAACGCACCATGAGCAGGGAGGGAGGCAGAGAGGCAGAGAGAGAGAGAGAGAGAGAGAGAGAGAGAGAGAGAGAGAGAGAGAGAGAGAGAGAGAGAGGAGAGAGAGAGAGAGAGAGTGCAAAAAAGAGAGATAGATAGATAGAGAGAGAGAGAGTTTTATGCACCAGCACATGTTTTCCAGGCGTCAGGGGCCCAGCCTCCCCTCCCATCCGACTCGCCACATACAACAACGCAACTGAACTAAAAGTTCTAAATAATTTCTTGACAGGACGGATATGGATGAACAAGAAGACCGGACACGACAAGGCAAAACTGTTAACTGAAGAAAAGACAAACAACGTGGCAGCATATGAGCATGCGAGCAAAAGGGTTGCACACGTGACAATGACGTAAACGTTCCATGGTGCACAGAATACCGTGCACGGGCAACAAAAACAATGCAGAAAAAGTCAAAAGGAAAACACTACAAAATAATAGCGAGATAGATAGACAGAGAGAGACAGAGAGAGAGAGAGAGAGAAAGAGAGAGAGAGAGAGACAGAGAGAGAGAGAGAGAGAGAGAGAGAGAGAGAGAGAGAGAGAGAGAGAGAGAGAGAGAGAGAGAGAGAGAGAGAGAGAGAGAGAGGGAACAATTTTACATTTGCATGGTCAGGTAAGTCTAACAAATGAGCGTGAAAGAGAGAGAGAGAGAGAGAGAGAGAGAGAGAGAGAGAGAGAGAGAGAGACAGAGCGTAAAAGAGAGAGAGAGAGAGAGAGACAGAGCTTGAAAGAGAGAGAGACAGACAGAGAGACAGACAGAGAGACAGACAGACAGAGAGACAGACAGAGAGACAGAGAGAGAGAGAGAGAGAGAGAGAGAGAGAGAGAGAGAGAGAGAGAGAGAGAGAGAGAGAGACAGAGCTTGAAAGAGAGAGAGAGAGAGAGAGAGAGAGAGAGAGAGAGAGAGAGAGAGAGACAGAGCTTGAAAGACTTGAAAGATGCAAGCGAGTACATGCACTAGGAAAATAGCCTATATAGCCTACTGGTTACTCCAGACTGGTTACTATACTGGTTACTACTGCAGCTTTAGTTGAGTATCGACACACATACCCTGTGCATGTGCCAGAGCACGGCAATGCTCAGCAGCACCGGGTAAGGACTGCATATAGGTTAGAGCAGCGTTCAGACCATTGAAGGCTTCCTTGAATGATGATGGAGGATGCTCTACTGTTGTACGCACAGCAGTGACAGCACACTCTCCCTCGCCGTTACCACCTTCCAGTTGCTCGGCATCAGCTAGAGATTGGCCTAGGATCATGTCGACGAGGGCTTCAAGTGACGACGTACTGGTTGTCAGTAGCTTATCATCAATGTTGACAAAGTTCTGAAATGATATTCCACTCTGTACCAGATGTGCGTCTTGCGCCTGCTTCCATATTACGCACTCTGCTCCATCAAGTGTAGGGCCACTAGTGCTAGTTGCGGCACCAGATGCATGTTTCTGCTGCGTACGGGGAGTGGAATGGCGGAAGCCAGCGGCACGGAAGCCACGGACAATGGTGGCCGGCTTGAGGGAGTTCCATGAGCTACTCAGCCACTCCAGCGCCTGAAGCAAGTGCAAACTGAATGGTACACTAGACTCATGACATGCAAGGCATCGCTTCACTAGTAGATACCGGTAAGAGCTCTTGAGGTCAGTGATGATTCCAGAATACAATGGTTGATTTGTGTGCGAGGTCTTCAGTGGCACAAAGAATATTTTCACATTGCTCAGATTGTCAATATCGGGATAAGCTGAATACTTGTCCAGTACTAGAGCAATAGTCCTGCCAGAAGCTTTCATCTGATTATCCAGTTTCCTCACCCAAGTCTCGAACACTTCGCCTGTTATCCAAGCCAATCTGTTTGCTTGATATGTGACTGAGTTGTTCACGTCTCCTTCACAGCAATTTGGAAGATTACAATTGCCGACGATGAATAGAGGGAGCTTTTCCCCCACAGCGCTTGCACTGACTAGAACAACTAATCGTTCTCCAACCACATCTGCATTCTTCCGCCTTCCATCCAGAAATGCAGTTTCAGGAGTCATTCGCCACTCTACCCCAGTCTTGCATATGTTGAAAATATCATTCTTGTGAAACTCCTTCTCAATCTGTTCAATGGGTGTCTCCTTTTTTCCTCGAGATTTACACGCCGTAGCACTAGCAGCAGGACTCTCGTCAACACTCGCTTTTCCCGAGATACCGTACCGTTTCCTGAAGCGTTGAATCCAGCTTAAATCAAGCTTCTCTACGTCCTCGTCTTTGTACAGATCTATTCCACGCGACACCAGCGCTCGGAATATGTACTGAGCTTTTGCCTGTAGGTCAGGTCCGGAGAGGACTTTCTTTGGCGCTAGACTAGCTTCCTGCTGAAGCCATTCCAATACAATGGATTCCACTTCGCAGAATCTCGGTTGGCGAATGGAGAGTTTTGACTGGAAACCTTGAGCTGTTGATTTGGCTGAGGCATTTGCGATCCGCTCGCGATCCCTGATGAACCCTGCCAGCGTGCCGTGGGATATACCGTGCTTCTCCTCAACATCCTTGCGTTTGGCACCGGTGTCGAGATCCTGAAGGATGCCAAATTTCTCCGCAATACTGAATCGCTTTCTCTTCTGAGCCATGTTCGAACCCTCCACGTCGTTCACTAGTGGCAGTGCACTGGCAGTAGTGACACTATTCCCCAGTATTGCCTAGTATTGCCTACTGTAACTAACTAGTTACTTTATCTTGCTCGGTTGATAGCGTGAAGCAACAGCAGATGTCCACCACCAATGTCTGTCGTAGATCTACCAGGCTAATCCAGAAAACCATCAATAAAAAAGCTGCTGTTTGAAATAAAAATTTTAATGTGTTCGTACTTCGGAGAACAACAGACGTGCTAGCTCCATGCATTGGTAGATCTACGACTACTCTCTAGTGCCTGCGATCACGTGCGTAGGTCACCAGGACGTCACCTGGGTTTGAAAATGTGTGGCGCTAGCGCTAGCAACATTCAAACAATCATGATTGTAGACGTGTGTATGTAGCGTTCTCTCTCCGCGTAGGTTATTATTAATTTTTCGACCGGTAGTATAATGGAGGCAGGATTTTCATGTTTGAAAAGGGAGTCAGATATTTCCATGCCTGTTTATCAATAATTGATGTACACGCTTGTCAGCGCTCCAGCTAGTGGCTGCTCCAGCTAGTGGCTGCTCCAGCTAGTGGCTGCTCCGAATACACTACACAATACAATCATAGTATTTTCATTTCGTCCAGAAAACCAGTGGTCCCTTGCATTCAAAGTCACTGAATATAAATAATTCCTCTGGCATTAGTCAGACTGAGGACCTGCTGGTAACTAGTGGCCTAGCGGGGCGTTAAGGAGCAGAAAGAAGTATTCACTGTCTGAGCACCACTCTAGTTCAATGAGAATGTCAAGACCTTCTGTAAGTCGCTCGCTTTGCTTTGTATTTATAATTAATTTTTATTATTGTCAGGAGCTGTAGGAGCTGTACTCAACCAGTCTAGTCCCTATACTAAAGCAGTATGATTGTGTACATCATCATAATTATGTGTACATCACCATAATTATGTGTACATCATCATATGTGTACATCACCATAATATGTGTACATCATCAATATGTGTACATCATAGATGTACACATATTGTTGCGTTCCGAGAACGCACCTAAAACTCCAGTCTACTCTCGAGATCACTCAGATCGCAACTGACTGTATTTACAGGAACACGAAATGATAAATCCAGAAGACTCCGGAACATAACAGCAAGCTACATGCACGTACTATGTACAGGGCAGTTCAAATCGTTCGGGATTCATTGTACGCTAGATTGTTCACTTAGCTAACAAACCACAATACAATCGGAAGCACGCGGTTGACAGGATGCGTGCGTAAAACAATACAGATTGTATGTCAGTGGTTGCTGATTGCAAACCACAACATCAACATCTCCCTTTTTCTTGAGAGCAGAAACACAGCTACATAGAAGAGTGAGGAGGGACTAATGCACGACAGTAGAATAGAAGAGACTATCAATAGTCAGGATTGGGGGTAAGATTGTTACAAGATTGTTAGAAGTCAAGCCGAACGGTTGGTTGGCTTACGCGGCTGTACCGCCGCAGGGTTGGCTGGGGCCTCGGTTGGGCCCTGGTTGTTCCGCTCACCTTCGACCATCCTCGGCTCAGGTACACGTTCCTCCGGCTGAGGATTTTGGCGCGGCGTTGAGCTGGGCAGCATGGCCAGGTGGCTTCGATTCCTGCGGTAACGCGACAGGTCAGCCGTGACGACAATGTACGACCGATCAGACAGGCGATCAGCTACTACCGCCTCAGCCTTGAGGTCAGACACCCAGACAGACGTCCCTTGCTGTAGAATCGGGAGCTCTTGCGTGCGGTGAGCGGCATTGAATGTTGCACACTGTTGCTCTTAACTCTTGGCCTCCCACTGCTGAAGTGCTGGGAGATCGGACCAGCTCGGGGTTAGTGCTGTGTCGGGTACTGGGAGGTTCGCTCGCAGTCGGCGTCCAAAGAGTAGCTCTGCTGGAGAGAAGCCGTTTGCGAGAGGTGTTGAGCGGTACGCCAGCGGTACGCCAGCAAGGCGTCGTCCAGATGCTGGTTGGACTCGAGAAGACGCTTTACAGTTCTGACCGCCCGCTCAGCTTCACCGTTGCTCTGGGGAAAGCGGGGACTGCTGGTGCGGTGGCTGAACTTGCTTTTGGCAACAAACGCTTCGAACTCCACACTTGAAAACTGTGGCCCATTGTCTGAAACAACGGTTTGCGGAACGCCGTGGATGGCAAATACCGCAGACAATGCCTTGATGACCGCACTTGTCGTTGTGGACCGCAGCACCGGGGCGTGAAGGTAGCGGGAGAAATAATCCACTACGACGAGACGTTCCGCACCATTGTGCGTTAGGATGTCCACTCCTACCCTCTCCCATGGCAAGGAGGGGAAGTCGGTTGGCTGAAGCGGCTCAGGAGGCTTCTTCAAATCCACGCAGACACGAACAGATCCGTTCGGTTTGATGACTGAGACCATTGGCGCACACCAGTCGGTAGGTTTCTCCACGCGCTCAATGCCGCCTGCAGCCTCCATGCATTCCAGTTCACTGCGGACTTTGCCTCGGATTGGAATTGGGATGCGCCGGGCTGTGACGCAGTTGTACGGCTTAGCGCCATCCTTGAGGACGATCTCGACATGGTCCCCGAGCATGCAGCTGATCGTGGGTCGCACCTCCGTAGAACAGGCCTGTGGTCATTGGATAAGCCCCATGCGGCTCGACTGGTCACGGCTGAGGAGATTGACGGTGCCGCAGGCAATGATGACAATAGCCATGTCATAGCTGGCATCCTGCAGCTTGGCGGTGGTTGTGAACTGGCCCTGGATGGGGAGCGTCTTGCCTTCGGGGCCCACCAGGCGTGAAACGCATGGGTCAAGGGCTGGTGGCGATGGCAGGGCTTGGTAGCTATCCAGGGTCATGGTAGACAGATCTGCTCCTGTGTCGATCTTGAATGGGGTGCTGGTGCCACACATGTCCAGTGTGATCATCCATGGCTCAGACCTAGGCTGCCTGGAGCTGGAGGCAGCACTCGCAGAGTGACTCTGCTCTGTTGCTGCTCCCATGAAAATGGTGTCGACGTCGTTTGCATCCAGCAGGTTGTAACGGAACCTCAGCCATTCCGTTCCCCGGGACGCAGGACACAAAGGACAAGACTAGTTTGGTTTACATAATTATTATTGACATTATGGAAATGGAGACAACACTCAAAGGGACGACCAAGAAGACTGACAAAAGGACTCTCGACTACAACATCGCGCATGCTCATATCACACATGCACGCGACTAGACGAGACAGTTTGGGGAATGCCATCACACAGGAAAAAACACATCATTTCACAACAAGGTCGACAGTGTGAGCAGCGGTACTGGTGGCAGATCTGCATACTGTGGCGAAGTGGCCCAGCTTGCCACAAGTGCGGCACTTCTGTGATTGAGCAGGGCAGCGCATGCGGTCTGATTTATGATCAGTTGACAAGCCACACCGACGATACTTACAGACAGTTGAATCGCTAGAGTACCTTGCTTGGCTGGACGGAGACGGCTTAGATGGCCCTTGTTTGGCGGGAGGACGCCAGTCATGTGGTTGTCTGGGTGTGTAAGCAGCCGCTGCTAGGCTTATGGGTGCTTGTAGTGCCAGCTCTTTATTGACGGACTCGGTTTTCCGGGCAGAGGCAATAGCATCGGCGAGCGTCAAAGATGTGTGGTCCTTTAGTTGTAACTGCTTCGAGACGGCTCTGTCCGTCATATGCGCGACGAACCTGTCCCTGATCCTTTCGTCGGGCTTGTCAAAGGCACAATATTTAGCTGCAGTGGTTGCTGATTGCAAACCACAACACATATGATGATGTACACATACTCGCAGAGTGTACTACAGTGCTACTCAATGAAATACGATGAAGCAAGTCACTGGCACACCGGGTGCCATGCATCCCTAGACCTGCAAACACTGGGATATGGGCTAACTGTTAGCACAGGGCTCGCACTTGGTTCACAAGATTGGATTTCATTGAGCAGTACAATCGTCAAACGCGGCCGCGCTGTCCTTTTCTTCTTCTTTTTTTGGGTACAACAATGAGAAAAGCAAAACAAAGACAACTGTACAATTAACTCGAAAAATCAAGCACCATGCAAAATATTTATTAAATGTGCGATTCCGCCACTGCGAGTGTGGCGGAGTATTAATCTGAACCCATACTGGGTGGCCATGCCGATTGCGCGAGCCACGCAAACACAATACATATATGCATGATCGTAATGATGCAAATGAAAGTTGGCAGCGAATAAATGACATAACCACTGAGTATGGCTTGTTGTTCTTTTCAGATTGTAAACTTGAAATACGTTTTGTGTAGAGAAGAGGCTTCATGGCTGAAAACTCCCGCGGCTCAGATTACTTCACAACCAAATATTGCGACAGAGCCTTCGGCCATATTTCCAATTTATTGCATTCCTAACTCGTCACAACCACTCGCTCTCAGCCGAACCATACAGACACCAGCAAGGATACTTCCGTTGAGAGATAATATTTTTCCACGCCTCTAGACAGCTGTTTCGCTCCCTGCCGGAGCTCGTCAGTAGAGGATGATAATGATGATAATGGAGTGTAAAGGAATGATCATTCTTATACAGCAGAAATGGCGCAAGTGTGTGTTTTCCGCATAGAACAATGGCATATACAAGCTGCTAAAATGGTAAATGTGAGAACAGCGAGAAGAGCTATTGCGCTCGCTGTTCTCACTAGGAAAAATTGCGAGAACTTTAGACTTGCTTCCCTACTTTTTAACCACTGGTAATGTCTTGAATGTACCGTCACCCATACGTTAGTATTAGGATAGCCATACAGGTCACCGTTAGGCGCTGCATCTGCCGCTAGGATTTATCGGGTGTTAGCGGCCGTCGTGAGTTCCCTTCGGGAACGGACACGATAATTTGCTTTATATTATTTTTTTATACAGGTCAAAGTCTGACATGCGGCTTAGATTCCGAATGTCAAAAAAATCGAAATTTGGGTTTTAAAAATTTGAACTCTGATGGTGAGCCAATTAAATTATGGTGAAAAAAGGAGAAGGACACAATGTTACGAGTTATGACTTAACTGTCCACCAACGTTACCAGAATGTCTCAGTACTCCTTGTCAGTTTTGTGCCATTTTGTCGCACTCGCTGACTATAAGATCTGGTTACGTTGGTGGACAGTTAGTCATAACTCGTAACATTTTGTCCTTCTCCTCTCTTCACCATCATTTTTTTAAAGGGAGGGGAGTGTGACTTAGACTCCGGTACAGCTAACACACCGGAAAATACGATAATCGACTAACTCTGTCGAAGAATGTTTACATCCAAGCATTTGCACACATTCATGCGTTCTTAGGGTTACATGCTCGTGTGTGTGTGTGTGTGTGTGTGTGTGTGTGTGTGTGTGTGTGTGTGCGTGCATGTGTGTGCGTGCATGTGCGAGTGTTTGTGTGTGTGCGCACGAGCGTTTGTGTGTGTGTGTGTGTGTGTACGTTTGTGTGTGTGTGTGTGCGTGTGTGCACGTTTGTGTGTGTGGTGTGTGATGTTCCTTGTTGGCATTACAATTCAGAATGCATCCAGAAGCTATGTGAAGATCACCCGATGACGGCCACTAGGGATGCCAGGGTCGACCACCTGGTGTAGAGATGTAAGAATTCCGTTGAAAAGTCCCTTGTAAAGGTAACAATACCTCAAGAAAATTATAATCGTTATGCCATCCTTTTCAAGGTTATAATACAGTACGATCACGTCTAATAGTTGTGGACTCCTTCATTGGCCCCTCAGCAACAGTTTAAGGTCAAGTTTCAGCTGAAAGTTAGAACAGAGGCCGTGCGGCATATCTGTGTATAATGATCCTACCTGGCACAAAGTTGTTCAACCTCCCCTCCCCCCCCCCCCCCCCCCTGGAATATACCCAGTGAGTCCACTTACACTGTAAAAAAATAAAAAATAAACAGTCAAAGCAAGTTTATAATAATCCAAATTCCTGAATATCGCACTAGCCATCATTACATCTGCAAGAATCCCTGCATCCTGAACGTTGAATTACGGTGAAACATTCTACAGTATGCATTGAAGTATCTCATGTACTACATTGGGAAAGTGTGTGTTGCGTGTGAGATTGTGAGATAAAACCATGATGATGTTACCTGTCCATCTACTCAATGCAGAATGGAGATTTGGAAGTGTTTATCCTTCGCTGATGCTCATCAAACAATCATACTCCCCAGACAGAGCAAATTATTATTGGTCAATGCAAGAGAAATGGAGAAAGCTCAACTGAGATCGTTGAGGTAAGATACTTTGATATTATTAGGGTCTGCCGCAAAGGTTGTCATGTTGTCCCTGAAACAACATTGTTGACTTCACACTCTGACCCCTAATCCTCCTACCACTCCATCCACTCCCAAATGAAACGTTACGCGAAGTACAGTGGAAACTGCTTAGTGCATACACGGTGTAAGCTGTACTAGTGTGTAGGACGTACTTTCTGCAGTTGACGAAACATTGGCACACTTGATTGCAGCGCGGGTTTAGCATGTAAGACGTACTTTGGGTGCGACATACTTTTGGCAAGGTCGTATGAAAAGAGCGGCACGGTATGTCAGAAGTACCGAGTAGCGTGTACTTTTCGAGTCTGCTGAGCTTGATTGACTTCTGGCGTGTTGAGCTCATGAACTAGAGTTGTACACGCCACATCCGCTATCGATGACTGTCCTGGATCAGTGCGAGTGCTGACTTTGCTGCATGCACTCTGTGAACTCTACTGCCACACACATTGTGGACTCTAATGCCACACACATTGTGGACTCTACTGCCACACACATTGTGGACTCTAATGCATGATATAAATTAACCTGAGTCCCATCGGTTTTCCTCGTTTTCATCTAAAATATTTCCTTGGCTCACTAACTGAGTACACATTGCACACCCGCCATAAACAATATGGCGAAATGATCGTCGTGCAAGACTATTATGTTTTTGAAGTTAGCTTGTCCATCCGGTATCTGCTCTGGGACTTCAAACATGTACCGGCGAAACTCTTGCCGCCGGGTCAGAGCTGGGTCAGAGCTGGGTCAGAGCTGGGTCAGAGCTGGGTCAGAGCTGGGTCAGAGCTGGGTCAGTGCTGGGTCAGTGCTGGGTCAGAGCTGGGTCAGAGCTGGGTCGGAGCTGGGTCGGAGCTGGGTCGGAGCCGGGTCGGAGCCGGGTCGGAGCCGGGTCGGAGCCGGGTCGGAGCCGGGTCGGAGCCGGGTCGGAGCCGGGTCGGAGCCGGGTCGGAGCCGGGTCAGAGCCGGGTCAGAGCTGGGATGTTCAAGTGCGGCTACTGCATATAGATGTACATCAGGGGGGTGATGTAATTATTATGACTCCTTGATGTGCACGATTGTCCACGCGCCTGCATGCAGCCTGTCGGTGTGTCAGCCCTTACCAATATTGCAATAAGTACCGGACATGTATACTGCCAACCTGGTCACAAGTCAGGGCCGATGGAGCCGGTCCATGGTCGGACCAACTTTTGCGACAGCCACGGACTTCCTTTTTTTCTTCCTTCTTTTTTCTTTTTTTTCGGTTCGTGCACTGTCCATTTGTCTGTGCATGTACAACGAACATTGTAGGGCAAAGAGCTTCGTGTCATGTATTAGTTTGTGGTGCTATGTATCTGTGCCGTAGAACCTTGTATCTGTGCCGTAGAACCTTGTATCTGTGCCGTAGAACCTTTCCAGTATAAAAATCGTCTTCAAGATAACATGCTTTGTTTGTATGATGGTGTTGTATCTTAAGTATTTGTGTAATGTTGTTCTCTGCAGCCAAGTTTGAAGCACAGCCATAATTCTGCTTTGTCACACAGCCACCAGCTGCACAAGTAAGTGCTGTGCCACCGCCTTGGCTTCTTGTGTTGCCCTCTCTAGCATGAGAGGCTGCTGTGACAACACAGCTATGGTTTGACGTATGGCACGCAGTAGCAGTTGAGGCTGTTGTACCAACACAGCTATGGTTTGACGTATGGCATGCAGTAGCAGTAGATGCTGTTGTGCCAACACAGCTATGGTTTGACGTATGGCACGCAGTAGCAGTTGAGGCTGTTGTACCAACACAGCTATGGTTTGAAGTATGGCATGCAGTAGCAGTAAATGCTGTTGTGCCAACACAGCTATGGTTTGACGTATGGCATGCAGTAGCAGCAGATGCTGTTGTGACAACACAGCTATGGTTTGACGTATGGCATGCAGTAGCAGTAGATGCTGTTGTGACAACACAGCTATGGTTTGACGTATGGCATGCAGTAGCAGTTGAGGCTGTTGTACCAACACAGCTATGGTTTGAAGTATGGCATGCAGTAGCAGTAGATGCTGTTGTGCCAACACAGCTATGGTTTGACGTATGGCACGCAGTAGCAGCAGATGCTGTTGTGCCAACACAGCTATGGTTTGACGTATGGCACGCAGTAGCAGTAGATGCTGTTGTGACAACACAGCTATGGTTTGACGTATGGCATGCAGTAGCAGTAGATGCTGTTGTGACAACACAGCTATGGTTTGACGTATGGCATGCAGTAGCAGTTGATGCTGTTGTGCCAACACAGCTATGGTTTGACGTATGGCATGCAGTAGCAGTTGATGCTGTTGTACCAACACAGCTATGGTTTGACGTATGGCATGCAGTAGCAGTAGATGCTGTTGTGCCAACACAGCTATGGTTTGAAGTATGGCATGCAGTAGCAGTAGATGCTGTTCCAACACAGCTATGGTTTGACGTATGGCATGCAGTAGCAGTTGATGCTGTTGTGACAACACAGCTATGGTTTGACGTATGGCACGCAGTAGCAGTAGATGCTGTTGTGCCAACACGCCTATGGTTTGATGTTTGTTTGTTTGTTTCATGGTTCTTCGCCAGATACACAGGCATTTCTGCCTTCTCGCCAAACCGTACGGCTAAACTCTCAATAAATGACTACAGCCTGAAGTAGCAGGAGAAGCTGATGCACCAACACAGCTATGGTTTGTGGGGTCACCATGGCAACAGCAGAAGCTGTCACCATTCCTCCATCACCTGTACTGCCCATAGTTACAGTAGAGGCTATTTGAACGCCACCACTTGTACTCACTCATCGTCACTCACATGTCGTGAGCCTGAATTTTACTTTGTGGGTAGAAATTGGATGGGTCTTCATGCGCTCCATGAAAAGCTTTTGCATTGTCTTGTTTTCTGAGTATGGCACGTCCATGGCTTTACCTGAAATCCAGTAAGTTTGCATGTCTTATCAAGGAACCAAGGTGTTTTGATGACAAGTATGTGGAGACCCCCCTCCCCTAAATCTCTATGGGATCAGACTCTGGTCTATCTTCGTTTCCCATTTCAAGGGACCATTTTTTTTTCATGAATGCTTTCTCACAATGTTTGTGGTATTATCATCCATTTCTGCCACCTGTGAGAGCCCCTACTGCTCTACTTACTTCCAAGTATGATTTTTGGGCACGCGGAGGAACAACTTCGCGGCATAGGAACTTATGTGTGTTTTGGCTGCTTGTGAGCTGACTTTTCCTTTTCAAACTCAGTTGCATTTCTATGAACGGAGTGCATTGTGTGTGTGTATGTGTGTGTGTGTGTGCGCGCGTGTGCGCGCGCCGCGCGTGCGTGTGTGTGTGTGTGGGTGTCTGTGTGCGTGCGTGTGTGTGTGTGTGCGTGCACGTGCATGAACACATGTGTGTGTCACAAATTGGATTGCAGTGAGCAGACAGTCGTTGCCGGGTGTGTGCGGGTACTGAGTCCACTGTGGTATACTTGGAGTGTAGCTCACCAACTCCCTCAGTGTCGGTCAGCTAAACAAGCATTGTTCACAGCTTCACTTGTCTTCAGCTCAAGAAAGAGGGAGTGAAGTCAGCTGCAGTTTGGTTGTGAGAACTGGAGAGACTAGACAGTGACATGGCAGCAGCATGAGAGTCTTGATGTGTATTGGATTCAAAGGCTATACTTCAACCTACTACCGGTACTATTCTAATAGTACTGTTGTGCTGCTTTCGCCATATACAGGAGTATAGTGTGGCTGTGCTGCTTTCGCCATACAGGAGTATAGTGTGGCTGTGCTGCTTTCGCCATACAGGAGTATAGTGTGGCTGTGCTGCTTTCGCCATACAGGAGTATAGTGTGGCTGTGCTGCTTTCGCCATACAGGAGTATAGTGTGGCTGTGCTGCTTTGGCCATACAGGAGTATAGTGTGGCTGTGCTGCTTTGACCAGGTTTACAGAGATATCCCATGTTCTTGTGTTGCCTGTCACGGCCGACATTATTTGAAAGCCCGCACAACTCTGTACGGATATTTGGCAAATGTACTCTGCCGTTCCTGCTTTGTTGTTCTCGTTCAACGGAGTGAGCAGCAAGCCTGTACACTTTTTTTATTTTTTTACTGAATACCACAGAACCATCAGATGCTGCACAGCGGGGGCGGTGGCATATTGGATGGAAGTGGGGGCGGGGCAAAAGTAACTCCTCCGACCAAAGGTCTCGGAATCATCGTTACTCCTGTGCGTATTGTGTAAAGTACCATGCTCAGCGCATCGTTGAGCGCAGTGTGTTGTAGTCCTTCCCTGTATTTGTATTGGCTATGGTGCCCTACCCGTCTGGCCCCAGCAGTATGTAATGCGTAATTTTACGTGCAGAACTATCAAGTTGTGAAACGAAACGAAACGAAACGAAGTACACTCTCAACTATACTTAGCCGACCCATAACCTTGATAACTATCATAGTCTATACTATAGTAACCATGGTAGCTGTTACTAGCTCACAGTAGGTATTAAAAAGTTTAGATCTACCGGTACCATGGGTACGGCGGTAGTCTCTACAAAAGTACAATCATGCAGACTTGTGAGTCTATAGCTATGTGAGTCTGTGAGTGCAGTGCATGCCATGCGACTAAAACTGAAAGTATTTGACGCAGCTACTGAGCTAAGCCTGGAATAATGATCCGGAAAGCAGTAAGAACTGGGGACTAAGAACCTGGCCCGTTGCCAGGTTACTGCCTGGCGCTAGGGAACAGCGTTGCTACTGATACTTGATAGCACAGAGAACAGAGAAGTCCTGACCTTGACGGAGTCTTGACTGTCTTGAGCGTGGATCCGAGCGCGCTGCGCCACTCTGTCGCCAGGCAGAGACTCAGCTGAAGTGACTGAGCCAGGAAGCCTCCTACGCCTAGACTAGCCTAGACTAGCTAGACTAGCATGCATTTGCAGTGGTGTGATTTGCGCTTGTAGTTGTGTACTGGACGTTGGCAGTGCTGGTTTGCGGTGCAGGATGTGGTAATGCTAACACTGACACTGCTTGTCACGGCTCGTGAAGCTGGAAGTGGTGTTGTATGCTCGACTGACTTCTTTTTTATTCAGTACACTACACCATAGATGTAGTACACATTCTGCTTTTGCACAGCGATGTCTCATGAGATGAGACTCGGAAAGAACAACAGTTACCAGTGCGTGAAGAAGACTGAGTTTGAAACTGCACATATCCTGCTAGCTCGTTTCGTATTCCCAGCAGCATTCCACTGTCGTTGTACAGTAAAACTGCCATGATTCGTGAATGGTCTCGTTTGGAGAGCGAACGTAGTGCTGCAGGTTCTTCCCACTTGAAGTGTTCGAGCATGCAATGATACAGAGTCAGAGAGCGGTGCATTTACGGAGTTTCCCGTTCAGAAGACACAGGTGAGTGAACACATCTTAGTACTTGTTATGCTTGTCGTAACGTTCTAGATACTTATGTCTTATGACCATTGAAGGTGCCAAACCTACTCTCCTGGCTCTGCCGGTAAAGCCTGGTTCACACTTTGGCGATGTTACGATGTTCCGACTCCGACACCGACTCCGACACCGACACCGACTCCGACACCGACATGAAATCGCCAATCGAACGGGTCAGGCTGACAGCCTGCCTTTTCACTCTCACACCGGCGAGCCACTTACATGTACCGTAAAGTACCGCCAGAGCGCCCCACCATCTCATCCTTTCGTGGTCGTATTGTGGAGGTGGTCCGCTGTCTGTAGGTCATACGACATGAACCTTGTACACATATTGCACGTTTTGCAGTCAATCCGTACCTTCAAGCTGACACAAGCTCCACACAAAAACCTGCCAAGTGTGACCTTAGTACACTAAAAGGGGAAGTATACCCTAAAATCAAATTTTCACCAGTTGTAGTCTTCTGGGTGCTGAGTCGAATGGTCTTGGTCCGAGGAAGCTGAGACGCTCCCTTCCTCCTTTATTCCCAATCGAACTCGCGCACTTCCACCGAAACTGGGTGACTGCGCCCTACTAGATGGGGATTTGTATGCAAAATGGCACTAAAAGCGCCATTTCGTCCTTATAAAAGCACGGATGACTGCGATTGGCCCATATGTTGTAGTCTTTTGGACGCTGAGTCGACTGGTTTTGGTCCGAAAAGGCTGCGATGCAGCGTTCCTCCTTTATTCCCAATCGAACATGGTTGAACAAGCGGTCACGTGCTCCTGCGTACACCAGTCACCTGGTCACCGTGCCTGCAGGGTACAACTTACTAGCCTGTTTGACCTTTTTTGGGTGCAGTCCTGTCACTCGAGTTGAACTCGAGTTGAACCTTGGTGTGAAAGTTGTCGCCTGCTGGCGTGGTGACCAGGTGATTTGGGCACCCAGGAGCACGTGACCGCTTGTTCAACCATGTTCGATTGGGAATAAAGGAGGAACGCTGCATCGCAGCCTTTTCGGACCAAAACCAGTCGACTCAGCGTCCAAAAGACTACAACATATGGGCCAATTGCGGTCATCCGTGCTTTAATAAGAACGGAATGGCGCTTTTAGTGAGATTTTGCATACAAATCCCCATCTAGTAGGGCGCAGTCACCCAGTTTCGGTGGAAGTGCGCGAGTTCGATTGGGATTCAAGTAGGAAGGGAGCGTCGCAGCTTCCTCGGACCAAGACCATTCGACTCAGCACCCAGAAGACTACAACTGGTGAAAATTTGATTTTAGGGTATACTTCCCCTTTAAGATTCTCACATCGTACACACTTCGTTGCACTCTGCCATACGATTTTCCTTTCTCTGGCTGTAAAATCAAGGTGGGGCGCTCTCGCGAGACGGGGCGCTCTGGCGGTACTTTACGGTAACTAATTGTCGACCTGTCTGTACTGTCTGTAGTGCAGTACACCTGGTAGAATCTACACATTCGCGCTAGCTACTAAGCTAGAGCAGGTAGAGCATGTAGAGCAGGTAGAGCATGTAGAGCATGTAGAGCATGTAGAGCATGTAGAGCAGGTAGAGCAGGTAGAGCAGGTAGAGCATGTAGAGCATGTAGAGCATGTAGAGCAGGTAGAGCAGGTAGAGCAGGTAGAGCAGGTAGACCGTAGCCTGCGGAGGAGCTATGCTAGGTGTACATGGGGGTACATGGGGGTACATGGGGGTACATGGGGGTACATGGGGGTACATGGGGGTACATGGGGGTACATGGGGGTGCATGGGGGTACATGGGGGTACATGGGGGTACATGGGGGTGCATGGGGGTACATGGGGGTACATGGGGGTACATGGGGGTGCATGGGGGTACATGGGGGTACATGGGGGTACATGGGGGTACATGGGGGTACATGGGGGTGCATGGGGGTACATGGGGGTACATGGGGGTACATGGGGGTACATCGCATTGAAACCTGTCTAAGGCGACCACTCAAGGGACGAGAAAAACTGGTCACCTTGGTAGGGAGTTCAATCAAAAACCAAATTCGCGAGTTTCGCATAAAACGCTAGTTATTCTAAACCGGGAAGATGTAGGAAACTGTCGTGATTACATCACGAAGTTGTACACAATATCACGTGTAGGTTTGTGTGACGTTATCGTCCACGTAGCATTAGCCCCTTTTTTGTTTTGATTGCTTTATGGTTTTACCTCGCTTCTTGATGATCAGGCAGGCAGGCATAGTGGGATGGTCTAAGACCATGATTGAGAAACAGAGGGTACCAGGTTCAAGTCCTGCTTGGAAGCGGAAGGATTTTTTCCAGCCGTGCTGCGACCCACAGTTAATTGGGAACTCGTGGCCTGGCACGAGGAAAACATGGATGCAGTGAATGGGATTTTCGGTCTTTGACCACTTGCTGGTGAGCTGATCTACTCACCTCCCACCGCTTTAGGAGCTGCATCTGCGCCTTGATCCTTGAAGGGTGGTGGCGTTCCTACGGATGCGGAAAACCCGGCTTCCAGCCGAGTCTCACGCGAACCGTGAAATTTTTTTAATTTTGATGATCAGAGATTACACTTCGGAGCTTCGGCTTCGAATGTGACAGTGTGTTTGGCCTCAAATCGCTCTAGTTTTCCCTAAATTTCCAGCGGTTTAAAGATAAAAATGCAAATTCGCGCCTTGATTGCACCTAGCACCTCTTGCTTTCTTTGGCCTTTTCTTTCGCTTCTTTGCTGATAGGTTACCTTTTTCCTTTGTCTAGTATCCTTGAGACTTCAGTCTTCTACTGCCGCTATGGCAGTGTCTGTTGTCTAATGATGACTCCGAAGCTGAAACTTGCAGTCCAGGCCTAGGACTAGTAAGAGTTCCTACCGGATCGTCGTGCTGTCCGTGTAGGTA